GGTGGGATGCAGAAGAAGAGGAGGTGTGAGGTTCACGATGAGAGGGCAAGGTAATTTCAATATGGTAATACTATCAAACGTTGGCGGCAGCGGCGCGGTGAAAGCGGTTGCGGTGAGAGGCTCAAGGGGAAAGACTTGGCGTCAGATGACTCGTAACTGGGGTGCCAACTGGCAGAGCTCCGGCGATCTCCGTGGACAGAGACTTTCCTTCAGAGTTACTCTCCTTGACCGCAAAACAATGACGTTTTTAAATGTTGTTCCTTCTTCTTGGTGGTTCGGTCAAACCTTCTCTTCTCGAGGCCAGTTTCACTGAGTACAACTCTTGATAAAATGATGTCTTGCTTTTGTTCTTTCAACTCTTTGCGTATTTATGAACTTTGCCCTTTGTTTTTTTTGGGCAATCTTCATTTGATTTTTATTGTATTAGTACTAATAAATAATTATATGCTTAATTTATTTATAAGTGGTTTCTCACTTAATGTATGAGCATTAATCGACAGTTTACGAGAGTTCTGCTGAATCTATAGTAATGGAAGTAACATTTTTAATTAGTTTCCAATTGTATTACGAAAGTCAATTTTTAATATAATTATATAGCTTAACCAAAAAACAATCGAGAAGATCAAGTAAATGTAAAAATTCGATGAAGAAACCGCAACTTTTTTATTGTCACTTGTCAGTCCACGGTTCACCTGTACCCGTAACTGGAAATAAGTCTTTTGCTATATTACGAGATGGAAATAAAAATACTAATACAGAGATGAATAATAATTGAATAATACAATAACTCTTTGGAAAAAGCAAGGAGCCCATGCTTTTCAGTTCTATGATACCTTTTCTATATACTTGAAGAGTTGAATTTTCAAACACAGAATAATAATACTAGTTATTGTTAGACAACTTACACTTAAAAGTCAGTAAAACAAACTTTTCTTAATGTCCTCCCCTTGCAAGCTTTATGTGAGTTTAATCATAAATTAATTTAAAAAAACAACAAAAACTTCCTCATAATTTGAATGTTCTAACCACATCTAGTTCTATTATCATCAGATTGACATATGCTTTTAAGAATAATCTATCAATTAAATGAAATTTAAATTTCTACAAGTTGTACACGTAACTTTGTTTTCCCACCAATGAAATTTTAGTGGTCCTTTATTCACGTTGTAATAATATAAATAACTAAAAATGAATCAATGAATGTTTAATCAAATGAACGGCGTTATAGTTGCAGTTGCAAATTCACAGTAGGAATAAAAATAAAAAAAGTTCTGTTTTAAATCTTGACATAAAAAGAAAGAAGAACAAATAGTATAAAGAGATAATTGGCTAAAGTGTCTTATTTGGCACCTATAATTAGAGAATTGCCCATGATGTGACAATCACTTTCCTTTGAACCATTTTG